GCATAAAAATATCATTTATCAGCCCTAAAATGTATAAAGTGATTTTAGAGAGTACATAAATATGAGCTTCCTCAGACTTTTTGTTTTCTAAACAGTGTTTTATTGGTACTTGTCGGGTGTTTTTGACTTGTGCTGCAAGTTGATATGATTTTATTTGCATTATTGTTAGTTTTTTTTGGTCAAATGATAACAGATGTCATACATTTTAAGCTCTTACTCAATTTTTTTTGGGCTTAGAACTGTTTAGAATATGATAAATATGAAGGTAAAAGCAGTTTCAAGTCACTTTTTAAAAATAAAAGAAATTCACAAGACACACTTTATTTAAGAAGCCCCTAAAAGAAATACTTCAATTGGTCAATCAATTGAATTAAGTTTATCAAAATTAAGTTAGCAAGTACTTTTAATGCAACTGGTTCAAGTTTAACATTCTTAAATCATTTAATTCCACTCAAATGAACAGTTTGTTTTGCTGTGGCTTAATTTGAAGGAATGTCAGCTTCAAATTTTTCCAACTTGTGTCTTTCTTTTGCCAATATCTGTCCTTTAACTGTCCTTTTTCTTTTTCTTTACTTTGTAAAATTATTCAAAGGGAACAGCGGTTGAATTACAGCAGCAACGTTTGAGAAACAAGGAACAAAGTGGCAGAGCCTGATACGAATCTATACAACAATCTATTATAGGCTATAAAGTTAAGTTATGCTGCATTGTTTTAATTAGAACGTTAGTGAAAATGTGCCGATTACGCTCTAAAATATAATGTTTTGGCTCAACAAAATAAATGCAAAGCAACAGTTTACATTCATCTTGTGTTTAACCAACAAACTACGTCGATTTATAGGAATCTGCTTATTTGAAACGACCAATTAATTCTTGCTTGACAAACACAAGTTTTTAAATTGATTACTCACAGAATGAAGTTGATTCAACTTGTATTTGAAAGTAACTGTGTTATTTACTTATTTACCATAATTATGATCAGACGTTTTCAAGTTGACAAATTGAAGCAGGTCGGGGAGGAGATTTAAAATCATGACCTCAAGGTTAAGAAAAATGTAGTTATCAAGCCAGTTTCATCAAGTTACCTCAGTTTAGTTTTAAATCAGACGGCCTTCATACTTCCTGTTTCCCCCACCCTCTTTTTTTTAAAACAAAAAAAACATCAAAAACTTTGGCCAAAGTGGTTAAAAAATGTGCAAAATGACTTCAGGCGTGTCCCAAATACAATTCTTAATTTTACTTTTACTTTGAAATTCGTATAGAGGGTTAGCCATTAATCTGAAAAACAAAATCAGATCTTTTCTTGAATGATATGTGAGATTTTTGAAGTATGACATCCCTCCTGAGCTCATTTATCTGTTTATACTGAATTTATCCAGCAGAGGGCGGAATAACCATGACAACCAGCAACCTGAAGAGAGCAAAGCTAAAACAAAGCAGTAGAACATAACATCATAGCCTGTGATAGATTATTCTGTAATAGTATTTAGATTCATATCTGCCAATTTGTTCGTACATTTCATCAGATTTTGCTGCCGGAACTTAACCGTGGTTCTCTCTGAGTTGGATTACAGAGTAAATAAAAGAACATTTCAGTAAAAGAAGCATGGGCAAAACAAAGAACGTTTAAGTTCATCAGAACCAGCGGCATTACAGGTGTTACCAACTTGATTTGGATAAACTTATTTTAATTACAGCAGGAGCATTTCATTTAGGTTGATTCAAGTTGAGGTGTTTTCTGTAGAGATTTTTAATAAGGTGAGTCGTGTGAATCACCTTAGAAAAGTTAACTTGAAACTGCTTTTACCTCCATATTTATCCTTTTTCTAATACTTCTAAGTCCAAAACTTGCATGTAACGGATTAAGCTGTTGCACATCTTTTCTCCTTTGACAAAGGAAACAGAAAATAATGCAAATAAAATCATATCACCTACAGCACAGGTTAAAAACAGATTACAGCTATCAATAAAACACCATTTTAAAAACAAACTCCGAAGATAACATTTATTTATCCAGTGTCTAAAGTCATTCTATAAATTTTAGGGATAATAAATTAGTTTTTCATATAGATTCACATCAGTTGACTTTCCTTCAAATTTATCCGCAGCAAAACAAACTGTTCATCTGAGAGGAATTAAATGATTTAAGCATAAAAACTTAAACCGGTTGCATGAAAATTACATGCTCACTGAAGCCGGATAAACTTATTTCAATTGCGTTACAAATTAAGGCATGTCATTTAAGAGCTTTTTAAATAAAGTGTGACTTGGAACTGCTTTTACCAGAGTAAGAGCTTTAAATGTATGACAAAAAAACTAACAATAATGCAAATAAAATCATATCAACTTGCAGCACAAGTCAAAAATGCGCAACAAGTACCAATAAAACACTGTTTAGAAAACAAAAAGTCTGAGGAAGCTCATATTTATGTACTCTCTAAGATCACTTTATACATTTTAGGGCTGATAAATGATATTTTTTATGCAGATTCATGTCAGTCTCTGCAGTTTGAAGGTGAAGCAGAATCCCCGTCTCCATGTTCCACCTGGTTCCCACGGTGAAGCAGCAGGTTCTGGGTAAAACAAGGTGAAATATCACTGACA